TGTGGCCTGGTGGTGTTTGAGATCCCAGTGTTTTTGAATATTATTCATGTCCTTCTGGATATCCCAGTTCTGAGATTGGTCCGGACACAAGAACGAACAACCCCAAAATCACCATGGCAACCTGGCCCATATGGCCGACTTGTGCATGGAGCAGATCAGATCCAAGATGGTATTTGTTGCCAATTTAGTCACAATGCGTATATATCTCATGCCAGTGATCTGCCTGTGTCCTACTTGATTCGCTGCTTGGAAAAATAAACATACTGGGATGGTTTGTTTTGTATTGAAGTGTTAACCCAGTGTGATTGCACGAGTGGTCACATTGTCATGTTTTGATTGACAATTCTGCTGCACTTATTCTATAATTAGAGCGAAGAAGTTACCAGTGAAATGAGAATAATGTACATTCTGGCTTATGGAGTGAAGCAATTACAAACTAAAGCGAAACCTGCTGTAGTATTAAACTACTGTAAGTTTTGAAGAGCTAATATCAACAAGACAATTACAACTTTTCTATTCTGCTGCACTTATTCTAAAATTAGATATACAAATTACCAGTGAAATGAGAATAATGTACATTCTGGCTTTATATGGAGTGAGTGAATACAAAGTACAGCGGAACCTGCTGTAGTAACTACTGTTCTGAAGAGCTACTATCATCAAGATGCTTCCTGGTAGAAATTTCAATTTTAAAAACTTATTTCTGGCTTATTACACCCAGTAAATGAAGATCGATTGATTGATCTGTAATTGAAAACAAGTCAGAATTTTGTTTGGCACCAGCGGTAGAGTGGTGGTAGAGTCGCTGCCCGGCAAGCAGTAGATGGCAGGTACAAATCCCACTGCATGGTTCCAATATTATTTCTGACTTGTTTTTCAATTACAGATCAATCAATCGATCTTCATTTACTGGGTGTAATAAAGTAACAAATAAGTTTAAACAAGACAATTATAATTTGTGAAATGTAGAACTACAATTGTTTTATTATAAGCCTTTGTCATGGTGGATTGTTGCATTTTGTAGACATGTTTGACAACCAAGTCTTCATCCAGTACTCGGCATTCTGTGCATTTATAATGTAGGTTGGAATAACTTTGCACAGGTATTGCTTGTCTTTAGCTTTTAATTTTGAAGACTCAGAATTCCAGTCTTTGGACTGATTACTCTAGAAGCACTGATCAGTCTAATTTTTTACACTCAAGCTTACTCTGGTTTAGTGGAGAAGCACCTATCAATGTTCTCTTCATTGATATCTGATCTTCTAGAGGTTTTGTAACCATAGCCTTGTCCTCATTTGGGCTGTAGACCGTCTTAGGTTCACACGAGATTCTGTAGACTTTAAGTTTAACTCATGGTTTTAAACCTTGATGTTATCTTGTACTTGTACACCGTGGGACACAACTATGGTTTTAAAACTTCAAGTTTAATTGACGTGCATATTAATAATAATAATTTGAACATTATTTGTATAGCGCATATCACTAACACAAAGAGAGTCCCTATGCGCTTAGAAAAGAAGGAAATAGAGATTGGGCAGAATAGAAAAGAACATTTATGCCTGATACATGAAAATGATTAATTACAAACAACAATAATGATACACAATTCCTATATAAATTGTACATTCAGGTAATACAAATTTTTTAATGAAAATTAAATGAAATATTAAATATGCATGAAGGAGTATAAACCACAAGCAATTTTCTCTTTATGTGCAGCAGGGTGGGAGGGGGCATCCTCACTCAAAGTTTTGCACTGTGGGATGCTAGGTTTTTTTTGGTATCAACCTTTGAATTAACACTCGTTCTTTCGTTCCCACATGAACCCTTGTCATTGTCAATAGAACGTTGTTTAAAACGTTGAGGTTTTGTGAACTGAAAACTTTAAAACCATGATGTTCCCGAGTGAACCTAGGTTTTGCAAACTAAAAACTTTAAAACCATGATGTTTCCGTGTGAACCTAGGTTTTGCAAACTAAAAAGTTTAAAACCATGATGTTTCCGTGTGAACCTAGGTTTTGCAAACTAAAAAGTTTAAAACCATGATGTTTCCGTGTGAACCTAGGTTTTGCAAACTAAAAAGTTTAAAACCATGATGTTTCCGTGTGAACCTAGGTTTTGCAAACTAAAAAGTTTAAAACCATGATGTTTCTGTGTGAACCTAGGTTTTGCAAACTAAAAAGTTTAAAACCATGATGTTTCCGTGTGAACCTAGGTTTTGCAAACTAAAAAGTTTAAAACTACGATGTTCCGTGTGAACCTAGCCTCTGTATGTGTACCATGCACTTTCTAAATTACCAACAGCTGTGGGCATCCATCATGCTTACCCCTTACCCTTTAACTCGAAGATATGAGGTTCCGCATCATTTCCCCTGCGCCTTTCATGTTTTTTCTTGAGTTTCTTATAAAAGCCGGCGCTCTTACACGTATGTTTTTTGGCTAGATGGTTGTTGATTGAGAAACCCTGCATCCATGTCTGGTATTAACTTAAAGCAGGGTTCGACCCCAACAGGCGCCCAAGGACTCATGGGTGCCCCAAATCTTAGTCTGGACCCCTAAATTTCAGTTGCATATATGCTTTTTTTATAGACTAACAATTTCAACTCGGATCCCCTTAGTGACGAACCCTGCTTAACGTGGTAGAAGGATGCAATACACGTAGATATCATTTAAAGAAGGATCTGCAGTTCTGCACCGTATACCCGGATGTACTTGCCATACCCTATCGTTAGGCATAGGCCCACACGTAATTTACAATTCATGATAAGGATCTCTAGA